TGCACAGTGTAATAGTAAACCTTGAACAACAGAGAAAACTAACACTGCATGAGTCCGTTCTACACCCCTACGAACCATTCGCTATAAAAAAACTATGGCAAGCAATGAGAATGACAGCACAGCTCAAACAAAGGCAAGCAATGAGTGACAGCACAGCTCAAACAATTTTTTTACAACACAGACCCATCGATGTTGAGGGCTTAGAAGGTGAGAACGACATTGATAAGAGCATAATTCCATACAAAACTGTTTATAGATATGAAGAGGAAATAGTCTCAGTTGCCCATCACAATGTTCTTCACAAGGAAGATTGCCACTACTCCCGATGTTAACTCTGATTCTAGCGATGCCAATGATCCACCACGTATTATCGGCAGTGACGCTGGCAGTGAAGAGTTAGAATCCACACACCAGACTCATCATGCCATGCAGTTACACTCCATATAATCACCTCCATTCAACTGTCATCAATAACTGCATGGCAACTATTATCACCATCATCATCATTGTCATCATCATCACAAGTCATCAGAGCATGTCTGCCTAACCTTACAAGTGGTGAGTGTTTTGTTTGTTCATTATTTTTTATTAAACCATAACACGTATATACAATACATATATGTATTTTACGATGTTTTCATGTGTTTTATGATTGTTCATGGTTCAATAGGTTAAGGAAGCAGTATTGTTAGGCTAAGTAAACGCTATTATTATATTTCCCTACAATATATTTGTGCACCAAACATTCGTGAATTTTTAACATTCACAAGGTTCTTGATCCCCTAACCCTCGCAAATGTGGAGGGCCACCTGTATATCAGTACAGTAGTACCTCTGGTCACAACCATAATTCATTCCAAAACTCTGGTCGTGACCCAATTTGGTCGTAACCCGAATCAAATTTCCGCAATGGATTGTATGTAAATACGATTAATCCATTCCAGACCCCTATGAACTGTGTGTAAATTTTTTTATTTTTTTTTTAAGATTTTTAAGCACAAAAATACTAGTTAATTATACCAAAGAATGCACAGTGTAATAGTAAACTAAATGCAAAAACCCTGAATAACACTGAGCAAACCTTGAACAACAGAGAAAACTAACACTGCATGAGTCCCCTACGAACCGTTCACTGTAAACAGTTTTTTTTTTTTAAGAGTTTTAAGCGCAGAAAAAACAATCAAAGTTTGAAAAATCCTCAATTATATGCAATAATGCACAGTTTAATAGAGAAAAAACCTTAAATGACAGGGAAAAAAGCATACCGTAAACAACTACAAGTGTAGAAGCCTTCAAGAGGAAACTGGACAAGTATCTTCACCAGGTGCCAGATCAACCAGGCTGTGATGGATATGTGGGGCCACGGGCCTCCAGCAGCAACAGCCTGGTTGGCCAGGCAAGCACCAGACAAGCCTGGCTCATGGCCGGGCTCAGAGAATAGATACTCTCTCAAAACTCTTCAAAGGTATATCAAAGGTATAACCAAGAAAACAAAATGAATTCAAAAACACACAAAATAAAACACAAGGAGTTCACAGTGAATGAATGCAGGTCTGACCGAGACCGACTACAAGGCGAGGGTCTTTGTTAGGTGTACACAAACAACAGAAAGTGGGGAAAATTGGAGCGTGAAAAACAAATGGTGCGGAATGTGAAAATTGGCCTGTCTGTGTCTGTTCGGCACCCAATTCTGTGTTCATGATCAGATGCAAAAATTTGGCGAATTTTTTGGCCGTGAAATGATTTGCTCATGTTTGGAAGCGTTCGTGACCAGAGGTTCCACTGTATAGTGAAACCTCGATTTAACAAAATAATAGAAGCGAGCAAGTGTTTGTTAATGCTGCTTATTGTTAAATCCAAATGATGATGATGTTTTTCCATGAACTGAACAATAACGGATTTTGTCTATTAAATCCAAAATATATTTATTCAGCGGACTGTAATAATAATGGACAATTCTGGTTTTAAAGGACTTTCTCCTAAGTTTCTGGAGTCCGGTCATATATTTTTATCATTAAATTTGAAATCTGTTTAATTGGGGTCCATTAAAATGAAGCCTTACTTATATACCCATTATTTTTATTATAAAAAGATTGGAAAAGGTATCACTGCAAAAATTAATGGATTCTGTATTAGGAATTATGAAATGCTGCTGAAAGAAAAAGACAGTATACAGGAGGGCCCCACTTATATGGCAGGTTAGGTTCCAGGCTACCGCCGTAAAGCGGAAATCGCCGTAAAGTGGAACACCCTTTTTTTCCACTTATAAATGCATACAAACACTAGATAACAAGTTTACACTAAAATATATTAAGTTAGCAATAGAACCAGGCATCAAAAAACAATAAAAAAGTACAATACACACATAGTGCACTCATTACTTACCTTAAAATATTTATAGTCTTAATCTAGGGTGAGACAAGTAGTATTTATTGTAAGAAATCAAGTGTGGTACGTATGGTAATAGCCAGGCTACCTTACCAGGCCACCCCACCCACACATACTATTCTATGATATTTAAGCATCCCAGAGCGAAAAATGTATATACAGTTCACTCATTACTTACCTTAAAATATTTGTAGTCTTAATGTAGGGTCAGGAGTAAGTAAATGAGATAAAACGAATAAATGAGAGAGAGAAAGAATGAGTACATGAGAGGGGGCAGGCGCAGAGTTATGTAAACAAACCAGGCGAAGGTAAGTTTTGTAAACAAACGAAGTGTACACATCTGGTTTGTGTACAAGTTACATTGTGTACAGGTTGTCTCTACATTGATACGGTAGAATTAATAAAGAAGAACACTCCCATTCTCATGTAACATCATTTTGAGAAGAAATGAAGCTCTGAGTGAAGGCAATGGAAATAAGTCACACTGACTTTTTTGGGTTATCCTAGGTTCTCTACACGTATGTTGTTATGTATGATAATCTATGTAACTGTATTTGTGTATACCTGAATAAACTTACTTACATACATACGAAAGGAATAATTTTCTACAGTTACCCCCAGTAACACATTTTCTCTTATGTTAGATTAGAGAAAATGTTATTCTTGCCGTCACTTGTACAAGTTATGTGGCTCCCACATCTTATATTTATGTTTATTTATTCTATTGTGGGGTGTATTTATCATCTTTTTTATGTTATGTATCGTGTTTATTATATAATTTAAAAAAAATATCATGGATGGATTAATGAAAATGTGTATATTAACGTAAATACGACATTTAAATGACTCGATGATTATTATTATCATTACTAATATGACGTCTGGAGACATAAGACACTTACCAATTTTAATGTGTACCTGCATGCCAGCACAGTATGTAAGTTTAGTTAGGTACAGGTATACATAAGTATAGTTATCAGAGTATATATAAAATATGAAATAACTTTTAAAAACATTTGAAATTTTGGAGTTTCCAGACAAAATGGAGAGACTTAGTGCTTACTGAGCTCATGGAGAATGTAAACAAACAGGGTGGGGCACGGTGACCGTATTAGAAAGTCAGGTGGGGGGAGCCGTATAGCGAGTTTTGGTCATAATTTGAAATGTCCGTATTAGCGGAACGCCGTAAAGTGAAACGCCGTAAAGCGGGGCCTTCCTGTATAAGCAAATCAATTAAATAGAACAGCGTAGCTAGTTAACCCTAGAGAGGTATGCTTCTATAAAGTCTTCGTTCATTATACCCAGGTATGCTGTACCTGGTGAGGGCAAATATTCAAATATAATTGTTGTAATCAGAAATTATTGTAGACACTGAGGGACATAAAAAGTAATAAGCATTGATGCAAATGTATGGGTTATCAGAATTCTGTTTCATTACCCACACTCGTGAATTCCTCACTAGGGTTAAGTACATTAACCCTCTAACTGTCCAAACACAGATCTACGTTTGCATGCATAGCGCTCCACCCTTGATTTTCTCCATAAGAAAGAATGTAAAAAACGTAGATCTACATTCGGAGCGCTATGCGAGCAAATGTAGATCTACGTTTGGACAGTTTAAGGGTTAAAGATAAATCATGCAATCACATGCAGTACCCAAACTATTAAATATACTATTTTACCATCTAATCTGGTGATGTCTTTTTGTGTTATCAATGTTTCATCAGCTCCAGGTTCTGTAACATCAGTTGTATTGATGACTTTATTCCTCAGCTCTTGGAGTGGTTCCTTGGCCTGTGGAAGTAACACAATAGAGCACTTACTCACTTGGAATGATATGCACAGTACACAAGTATTTTATGCAATTTTTCACCAATCTCTGTATAAGAGTAAAATCTAGTTCACTCTTCGAGTGTCCACAAGTCTACATGGCAGAATATAATAAAAAAAATAATAAAGGCAAAACCTATGAAGAGTACAGCTAGCATATGTTTAGGAGACTAACTTATGAAGTTGGTGGTTAATTCCACAGTGAGCAAAAATTTGTATAATATAAAGACAGTAATTTGAGTTAATAGTGATGATATCTATCTGATCTACATAAATACAAGTGATATCACCAATGTTCCCAAGTCACTGATCAGTCAGGATTACTATTATTATATTCATGAGAGAATGCTAAGCCCAAAGGGGTCATACAGCAACTGGGAGAATTGATGGTATTCAAGCTCGATCCAAGAATGGGGAGCACATATTCAACTCATTAGATCAAGAGCCCTTCAGCAACATCAATGAACCTTCCTTGAGGAGTGATCAGTCAGAAGGGCACTAATCTAATACATATATCCAAACTTAACCCAAATTACATTGCTGCATAATTCATGATTATATTTGTTACTTTTTAAAAAGTCCCCAAAACCCGCCGACTGGATAAAATCACTGCGTCGAGATTCAAGTCGTGACTGCCCCGACACCCTCGTCAACGTGTTGGTAAAATACTTTAGGGGGTAGCATATTAAGAATAAATGAATGAAATGTACCTGGGGAGAAGGGTTTTGACTCCCGAAATCTTTTATGATAAAAAAAAAATTTTTTAAGCCACATTTTAAAAATTTTTTTTAAAAATTTTAATGTGGGGAAGAGTAAAACCATAGGGTAATACAGCACAATCAGGTTCGCATCAAGGGAAAGGAGATAAAATCCCCCCCTCCCTTTGGATCAAGATCCCCCACTTGCTCAAGGAACTATCCTGAGGGGCAGTTCAAAGATAAGTCACCTTTAGAAAAAAAAAAGGAAGTACAGAGGTTCAGAATATAGAAGTAGTCCCGCGCTTCTAATTATTATAATCGTGGGAAGATAACCGTGGTTATAAGGGGCCTGTGGGGGGGGGTAAATGGAAGGTTTTAGCTTAATTCAGGGAACTGGAGACAGATAAATTCCCTAGATAAAGAGCCCTCCCCAGTAAAAAGGAATTTCCCTTGAGAGAATGCTTTACGCCCCACAAAACAAAAACCCCCTAGGGGTTTAACATTCCTGCAAAAATATAAAATAACCACCATACCTGTTATTTTCCCCCAATTTCTGAAAGTATTTTTAATCTCTGGGTAAATTTTTAATTCCCTTGTAATTTTTAAAATATATAATAGAATTTTTTTGTAAAAAAATTAAAATTGTCTGGGTTAAATTTTTTAATTTGCGCGCGCAACCGCAAATTCAAAAACTTTCTTTACGTAAATGCGTATGCGTGGTTTCTTTTAAAAAAAGTCACACAATTTTTTAAATATAAAAGCCGGAAGTAGCTGTTTCTGAAGGTTTTTTATTGTCGAATATGATGTGTCAGTGAGGCAGGGGCTCTAAATCCTTCCCCAAATACACGCTCGCCATCAAAATTTTTTTGAATCACCATAAAAAAAAAACCTTACCCCGTAGTGTAACTTGCTAATTTCCCCTCTGATGCCGCAATGCACAAAAAAAGTTTTACCCCCGGGTGTAAGAGAGAGAAAAGCGCACAAGACCCCCCACGGTTGTTTCCCTGACTACGAGCCTAAACTCACCTCTGCTGCTCCCGGGGGCTACATGCATACTCTCTCTTAACTCTATTTGCTCTTTTTCAAAATACGTAAAATACGTATGAGGTACAGTATAAAAATACACAATATTTTGCAATCCCCCATGAAAATAAACGTTTACTGCACTATCAGTCCCTCATTTTGGTAGCCAATTATTTAAGTTAAATTCATCTTTTTTCCAATAAAACTGTACATACAGAAACAACATACATAATACATGACTATATATATTATTTTTAATTATTTATTAAAATATAATATATATATTATATAATAATATTAAAATTTTTAAAATATTTTTTATATATTATATTTATATATATAAAATTTTATATATAAATATATATATAATATATATTTTTTAAATATATATATTTAAAATATATATATATATTATATATATATAATATATATATATATATATATATATATATATATTTAATATATTTATATATAATATATACCTGGAGTTTACCTGGAGAGAGTTCCGGGGGTAAAACCCCCCCGTGGCCCCGTCTGTAAACCAGGTCCGGGTGGATCAGGCCTGTCAACCAGCTTTTGTGGGGCTGCACGCAAAAAAAGTACACCCACGGGCCCGACTGGTCGGGAATAAAAATTATACTTATAATATATATATATATAATTATATATAATTAATATTATATATATATATATAAATATATATTAATATATAATATATATTATTGTGCCGAATATGAAAAAGGGTCAATTAGCAAGAATCATTTAAAATTAAATCCTTTTAAAATTTTCTTTGTACGTTTAGAGATTTTTTTTTCATTAATGTTGATGTAAAAATTAAAATTTTTTTGCCCCAAAAGGAACTTAGAAAATTTCCCCTAACCTTATTAAAAACAACTCAATTTTTTTTTAGCCAAAACCTAACTAAATATATTTTAATTTTTTTCAGAAATGAAAAACAAAACAAACACAGTGAAATATATTTTTTTTTTTGGGTTTCAGAATTTTTTGGGAAAAATTTATTACATACACAAATTTTCACTTGTCCTATAGGCAAGTGAGCTTTGTTTTTAACCCAAAGACGCAAGTTTGCCTATTCGGCACGACTAAACAGGGGTCCCCGCTTTTCGTAGTTCCCGGCAATCGAAAATTCGTAAATCATAGAGGTATTTTCGTATAAACATGGACTCGCTTTATAGGTTACTGCGACCATATTTTTGTCCGGGGAAGCGACCCAGGCGTGACCCAGGGGGGCAGCCATCTGGCATTGTTTCCCCAGTGAGCGAAGGTCCCTCACGGCTCCAGCGAAATATTTCATAATATTTCATTTATTTCAGTGCTTTCAATACTAAAAAAGCTACCATGGCCCAAGAAAGCTCCTAGTGCCCAAACCCCTTTGGGAAAGAAGGTGAGAAAAATTGATTTAAGAAAAAAATCTTGAACAATTGAAAAATGGACATGTGGCCAAGTGTCCAGGATTTAAGAAACCCTACACAACCTTATGTTCCCTATGGCCAAGAAAAATGAAATAAAGGGTGCTGTTGTTGCAAGGGAACATGCTGCAAAAATGAGATCACCAGTACTGGAAAAAGGTGAGAAGTTTTTTGGTGTGGATAAAAGAGAAGAAAATTTGCAGGAGATACTCTTATGACTTCGTTTTTTTGTGAAAAGGCTAGGCGTTGCATAAGATTTGGTAAAGAAACTGCTGCAAAAAGTGGTGGTGAGTGAAATTTTAAGGCCCCAAAGGCGGTTTTAGAGATTTTTAAAACCTTTTGGCAAAACTGTGGAAGGCCAGGTGAGGCTGCCACGGACCCAAGGCGGCTGAAAAATATGTGCAGAATTTTAGGAGACATAGGGTGAAGGACTGAAAACCTGAACAAGTGTTCAATTTTGACGAAACAGGCCTCTTTTGGAAAAAAATGAAAAAGGACCTTCATTCACAAAGGAAAAAGGGAATGCCCGGACACAAACCCATGAAAGACAGGGGTGACGCTAAAGTTCTGTGCTAAAGCTATGGGGATTTCAAAGTGAAGCCATTACTAGTGTACCCTTTTGAAAATCCCCGGTGTTCACAAAAACAAAGTTTGAAGAGAAATTTGTGTGTTTTTGGAAAATTTAGTAAGGCATGGGTCACGAGGGAAAAATTTTTGTCGAGTGGTTTAATGAATGTTTTTCCCCCAGTTGAAGGAGTTCTCCTGGAAAAGAAATTGGCTCAAGTGCCTAGTAATGGACAGCACCTGTCACCTCCAAAAATTGGATGACCTAAAATTTTTGAGGGGTTTGGGTTCATCACAGTAAAGTTCTTGCCCCGAATACCACTCCTCTCCTCCAACCCTGGGCAGGAGGTTATTGCAAAAATTTAAAAAAAATCTACACAAAAACAATGTTTCCAGGGGCTTGACGTGCCAAGCACTCACTTGACCCTAAGGGGAATTTTTTGAAGAACATTTAGCATCTTTCCACTGCATACCTTATGGATGGCTTGGAGGGAGTGACTTTCCGGACTTTTAACTCTGCCCGGGGAAAATTGTGGCCAGTTGTGTCGACAAGGGGGGTTTTTAAGAATTTGGGACTGACCCTAATGCCTTCTGTTGTAAAATCAATTTTGGGGACTGGGGGTTCCCCGGGGTTGGTTGGTTTTGGGGGTGTGGAAAAAAATTGGGGAAGACCACAATGAAGAGCCACCACGAGGAGCTGCAAGAGCTTTTACAGGAAGAGCAAAACATGCAGCTCAGAAACTTTCTGCAGAGGAGGGGGAAAAGGGGATGGGGAAGGTGCCTTCTTTAGAAATTAAAGAGATTTTTTACTATGTGGGGTTAGATGGAAAGTTTATGGGAAAAAATCACCCTAAAAGGTTGTTAAAGCCAGGTTTGGAACATGTACAGTGACAAAAATCTTGGGCCATTTTGGGAAGTGTTAAAGGACGCCAGAAACAGAGCTTCTCCACAGTTATTTTGTGAGAAGGACTCCCGTATCTCAAGGTGGTCCTAGTGGCATTAAGAAAAAGGAAAAAGAAGCAACCCCCGAAAAACAAAGGACCTAGGGGTTTATGGAAGGGGATTCCCCTTCCAAACTAAAACAATCCCTCTCTTCCCTCCGTCTCCCATACACTAAGAAGAATCTCCCCAAAAAGGTAAATGTTTGGGTTTTTTGTTTCATTCATCTTTCCAAATTTATTGTTTATGTATAATGCTTTTCATGTTAAAATTTTTTTTTTTTTAAAAACTTTTTTGGTGTCAGGAACGATTAATTTATTTACATTAAATTTTTTATGGGGAAAAATTATTTGTAAAAGTAAAAATTTTTTTA